TTGTACTGGAGACCAAACTTGGGACAGGTGGTGGAACCACTGAGCTAAATCCCTGGCCCTATCACATACTTGATATTACCCAAAGTATATTATGAACACAAAGCACTTGTGGATGTCTTGTGAGTACTGTAGTCTTAAGACTGTTTCTCAATGTAAGGTATGAATCTCTAGGAAAGAAGGTAGGCAATTACTAACCTTTGTGTGGCATTATAGGCTTCTCTGGGAAAGGAAGTGTGTAGTAGAAAGAGCATACATGTCAGAGTCGGCCAAACCTGGGTTTGAATCCCTACCTAGGGGTTGTTTTAATAATTCAATGAGATTAATGTGGCAATGCACACAGACCAGTAGACACTCAACAAGTCCCTCTCTCCTCCTCTCTTCAGAACCGGCTTCAGAATAAGCAAGAGGAGTATCTTATCAGGCATTTCTGAACGAATCAATTATAGGAAATGCAGTATCAATTTCAGAACCTCAGCACATTAAATATTTAGGAAATGTAACGAGTGGTGAGTTTCATTATAATTCCAACTTGCTGAAGGAGGAAAACAGCCCGGAAGAAAAATACTGTGCTGAGGAGAAATGGGTGGTGGGCAGAGAAAGCTGCAGAGTTGGGCTCCAAGACCACCTCCTTTGCCCCACTTTAGAGGTCTACAGTCTAAGCAGACCTCTTTCTCCTACTATCTCTTGCCCCAGTCCTCTGAGTCAGCCTGACAATGCTCACTGGCTGGATCACAGAGGGCATCAGAGGTCATCTGTGCTCAGACTTCTGCCTTTATGGAACGGAGGCTCTGGGCAGTCTTACTGACCTTCATCATTCACCTCTCGAACCCAGGACAGGAATGGAGCAGCCCGGGCAGCCTGTGGTTTGACACAGGCCTCCATAAGTCCTCCTAAGTAGGACCGCGTGTTCACCTGGTCTGAAAGCTTTCCTGCCCTCCTCCAGCCTGAGCTCTGTTCAGAGGAAGCAACTTGGCCAAGCCCACAAGGAGTAGAAGACATCAGTTCAACTCTAAAGCTCCTAGGAGGCAAGGCTGGTCTCAGACAGAGTGTGTGTGTGTGTGTGTGTGTGTGTGTGTGTGTGTGTGTGTGTGTGTTTGCGAGCGTAGGGGCGTCTTCACCCAACATCTGAAAGCATTGGGTGGACAGAATGGAGCTTTTCCTGTGGGGAGGTGACTTTCCCAGGGGGTCACGGTGCCTCTTGCCACTGTGCGGCTTGCTCTCTGGAAGGGACTCCTATAATATTTGGAGTCCCCGATGTCTCCATACCCTCCTCTATGGCAGAGGTTTTGCCAAGTGACACCATCATAGCCCCCAGTCCTGGCTGAGGAGTCATCAGGGTTCAGCCTCTTTGCCCATTGGCCAGGACGAGGAGATTCCCTGGCAGGCCAGCTTCTCACCTTCCACGCAGTTGGTTGAGAAGAAACAGATATTACGGGTCTCCAGGGGGTTCTCGTGAGTGAACTCGGGGGAGCGGGTCTGGGGCTCCGACTCGCCTGTTAGGGATGAGTTATCGACCTGAGAAAGAAGCAGCAGGGAGTAACTGTCAGACCGCAGACGCAGTGCAGTGCACAGAGTCTCCTGGGCCAGGTCCAGCTACCCTCAATCTTCATGACGCGAGGGACAAAATTACACTTGCCCTCATCACATATTTATGGTATTACTCAGCTATTGCACTTGCCTGGGTTTGGAATCTTGGCTCTTACTAACTTTTTGTGTGACTTGTGGTTGTTTACTTTACTAAGGGAGCCTCCAGTTACTCATCCGTAAAATGGGGAATGTAAACAAAGTCACTGCGTTGCACAACTCCCGGGGGGGCACTTTGTGGTCTATGGGGATGTACCTCCTAGGGTTGCTCAGGGCACCACCTGTCCCACATGAGCACTCCCACATGATGACGACGCCATCTTTCCAAGGGATTTTTTTTTTAATACTGGGGATCGAACTTGAGTCCTTGCACTTGAGAGACAGGCAGCGATACCACTGAGCTAAATCCCTGGCCCTTCCAAGGGAAAGTGGACAGCACAAGGAAACATACATAAGACATCTGACACATAATTGGTGCTCAAGAGATGATTATGATAAGTGGCTATAAAAAGAAATCCCCAGGGCATAGAGCATTTACAATGCAGAGCTACAAGGAGGCTCCCACGACACCATAGGCTGACAGAAGGTTTGGCTAGAGGGTGTGGAGAGGGGTTAACATTAAAAACTAGGTCTCCTAACTTCAATCTCTGAGTGAGGCTTTCTAAATTCTATACAGCCTGCTTCTCAGACGCAAACACTTGCTGTGTCCTGATCTCCTCACCTTACAACCATGAGAAGAGATGATCCGGAGGTCAGCAGGGACGCGGTCCCCACCCTTCACCTCCACCAGGTCTCCCACCACCACCTCCTCTGCATTGATCTGCATCTTCTCCCCCTCCCGGATGACGAGGGCTTGCTGTGGAGAGGCCATGGACATCGCAGGAAATGCTCATCTCTGTCTCTGCCTTTGACGGCTGCTGGCCCCCTTTCCAACCCCGCCAAGGGAGAAAGAAATCTCCACACCCTTAGCAACACAACTAGGTCCAGGTATGGAAACCCGGGTGGGTCTTTTCTGCCTGTCTCCATCTCAGCACCATGTGTTGAGCTGGGGCAAGCTGGGGCACCCCGGGAAATTTATGACCCGGCCTGAATTGAGCCCAGCCCTGCCATCTACCTGAGGCACCATGTTCTTAAAGGAATCCATGATCTTGGAGCTCTTGGCCTCCTGATAGTAGGAAAAGCAGCCAGTGACGATGACCACCGCTGCTAGCACCACACCCAGATATAGCTGGTAAGAAAGGAGAGTGTGAGGAACCTGACCCGGCTTCCCTGAGTACTCAGTGCCCTCCTACTCGAGAGCCCAGACCTTTGTCTGTCTCTGGGAGAGAGAGTGGTAGGGGAAAGTCCTTCTCTCCCACCTCCCTTGATCTTCCACTCCTGGTTTCCTAGGATGAAAGGGGCAGGAAGGGACTGAGTCACTCATCAAGTGCTTGTAAACTGAGGGTGCTCTGTAGGTATATACAGCAGCCTCACCCCTTTTCCGCCTGAGCTACAGGGCAGCTGTGGGACTGTGCTATGAGGATCTTGTTCCCTGCACTCCATATTAGGACCTTAGAGTTGGAGGACAGAGTTATGGGCTGGTCCAGGTTCAGGTATGTGGCCTCACATTGTCATTGGATGGTTCGTCCTCCATGGCAGCCTGAATGCCAAAGGCCAGGAAGCACAGGATGGCCCCAATCCACAGCAGGATGGAGAAGCCCCCGAAAAGCTGACGGCAGAACTTGACCCACTCGGGGGTGGTAGGGGGTGGAGTGAGGGCATTGGGCCCGTCCCGAGCCAGAATGTCCTGAGCCCGCTGGTTGGTGAGGCCCTAGGGAGCAAGTGAAAAAGTATGAGGTTAGGGATCCAGAGCGAATCTGACTGCCCCTGCATGCCATGGTGCCTCCGCAGGGGGGTAATGTCCAGCAGGGAGGAAAAGAGTAAGAGAACATCAGCAGAGACTATAGGAGGAGTTACCCTTTGTGAGGGGACTTGGAGGCCTTGAAGGCCGAGGAAGACTTTGACTGTGGTTTCACCTGATTTTTATAGGATCGGTGCACATTTTGGTTGGGGTCACAACACTTCCATGAAGGCAACCCGGATAAGTTCCCTGGAGAGAAAGACATCTCATCTGATCCTTCCTCCTGGCTCTCTTCCTCCAGATTCTCCCTCTTACCATGACTTCGGGGAGTGCCCTAAATCGCAGACTATCCCACAGCTTTAACAATCACCTGTCGCTTTCCATAGAAATTCTGGCCAGGCTCTGCTCCTCTGGCCCCAGGCTGGATCAGATGCCCCTTTTTGGGTCCACGTTGCATCCTATGCTTGATTCTAGAGTGGCATTTGCATATCACTTCGGAATTCAATTTTCTTCTCCTAGACTTTGAACAGGGTCAACTTCTTATTTATCTTTGTATCATTCATTCACTTATTTAATAAATGTGTATTGAGCATCTACTATATGCCAGGCACTATGAGGGATCCAGAGATAGACACAACCAACAAAGTTCCTGCCCTCTAGACAGATCATAAGTGCAACCAATAGGTGCATATTAATGCTAGAGGGTGAAAAGTGTTGTTAAGGGAAATAAAGTAAGATACAGGAGTGGGGGTACAGCATTTTAGAAAAGTGTAGTAGGGAAGGAATACAGGAGATTTTGACCCATATAGTTTTTCTACTAACATGTTTTCTTTTTTTTTTGGTACCAGGGATCAACTCGGGTCCTTGCACTTGCGAGGCAGGTGCTGGAACCACTGAGCCAAATCCCCAGCCCTTCTTTTTTTTTTCTTCAGATGAATTCTCAGTGTTGCCTGGGCCAGTCTTGAACTGAGGAGCTCAAGTGATTCTCCCACCTTAGCCTCCCAACGGTGTGCCATCACGCCCATCAGATTAACAATCTTGGAAACAGCCCAAATGCCCATCAGCTGAATAAAAAAGATGTGGGGTTTTTAATATATACAATGGAGTACTACTCGGCCATAAAGAAGGATGAGCTTGAGACATTTATAGCTAAATGTACGTGCCTTGAGACCAAACTCTTAAATGAAACAAATCGGACACGTATTTAAATACTGCATTGTTTTTCTGGTGTGAGAAACTGAAAGTGGAAATAGGGACTAAAATGTATAACAGACATTAGGAAATGGGAAGAAAACGTTCAAATGAGAAGAGGAACAGGGAGAGGAGGAGATGGAAAGGAAAGAAGGGACAAGAAAAAAAAAGAAAACAAGGAAAAATGGAAACAAAGCTTTATATGTAAGGAGGGGAAGAGGGGTCAAGGGGCAGGATGGAAAAAAAGAAGCAAGGTTAATTATGTATAGGTATAAATTTCCCATGATGAATATTATCATTTTGTATATCTAAAATGTACCAATGAATGTTTTGCTTTAAAAAAAGTATTTTGGGGCCGGAGATTTAGCTCAGTGGTTCCGCTGCCTGCCTTGCAAGCACAAAGACCCGAGTTCGATCTCTGGTACCAAAAAAAAAGGGAAAGGAGAACTCCTAGAAGCCAGGACTCCTTAGAACCCAGGTCCCCACCACCTCCAGGTGGGGCTCTTCCTCACCCCCACCCCAAGCAAACCAGTGACACACCACCTTTCCCAGAGTCGGCCCCGGGGAAAGTGAGCCCTGCTTCCTGTTATTACAGTGACACTACCATGCGCTACGCACCTGGCTTGGTGATAGATGCATTGTGTACATCTCTCTAATCTGTACAACCCTCCCAGGTAGGGCGGCCTGCTAATTTAAAGCTGGGAGATTCAGATGAAACTTCCCAAGGTCACATAAACTAGTAAATGACAGTCAGATTGCTCAGCCTAACATATTGAAATGTTAAAATACAGGGAAAGAGCTTTGCTCTAGGAACCAGGGGTCACATTCTAGCTCCGGCTCTGCCGCCAGTTAGCCACGTGACTGGGGAGGCCTCTTACTTCTGGGCCTGTTTCCTCCCATGGGAGAAATGTTGCATTATGGCGTTAAGGGTCTCCCACCTAATGCTGCACGGTTGTCTCACATCTGGGATCCCCCCTCCTCACCTTGGACAGGTCCACTTGATACTTGCGGCCCAGCTCATCCAAGGACAGCTTGTGATCATCCTGGGGAAGGGAAGTGCAGTTACTTTGGGGAAGGAAGCACAGGGGTGAAGTGAGGCGCCCTGGCAGCTCTCCCAGCATGCGACCCCTCTTCCCTGGCCATACTGGGTGGGTGGCAGGCCTCACCATAGCCACCTCCTTCTTCAGCTCATCCAACTCCTTCTCTTTCTGTTTCTTCTTGCCGCCCCCATTCTCCGCCGTGGTGGCGGCAGGTGAATACTCACGGCCCACCTGTGGGAGGAAGAGGGACCAGAGCATCAGGGGAGCTGCGTTTCAGCTCTTTAGTAGGTGGGCCTCTGCTAAGATTTCCTTTGCTTGAATGCTTCTGCTAGGTTCAAAATGTCCAACAATTTTGTATATGTGCTGCCCAGGCGAGCACCGTCCCACAATTTTGAAAATCGTATCTTATACAAACTACCTAGAAGAATCCTGGAAGTGGACAGGCTGGGGGTGAGGGGAGGGACTGGAAGCACCCGTAGGAAGGTCTTTGCCCACCCCCATGGTTATTAGACTTAGAGAGGTGTAGAGATGGTTAGGAATTTGGGGGAATAAGAGTCTTTGGGTAAAACTGGGAGGAGAAAGGATCTGGCAGTGAAATGGTAAGAGTGGAATGGGTAGGGCCAATGGACGGAGAAGTTAGTAACCAGAGGGTCAGAATGTTCCCAGGTAATGGGAATGCAGGGAATATGGGGGCCTCTCCATCCTGCTAGTCAGGCCTCCCCGAGCCTGGACAGAGGTAATGCATGGGATTCAATGCTCCAAAGCACAATTGGGTAAGAAGGGAACTGGACTCCACTTGTCCAAAAATGTAAGAAGCTTTGTCAAGGGGTAAATCTAATACTAAAACTTGTGAAACTCTTAGGTCATCCCTGCGTCACCTGGTGAGATCAGAAGGACATTTTAACTGTAGCCTCATGAGGCCACTTTGCCCTTTTCTTTAGGCTTCCAGGGTCTCACACGGAAGTTTGTGAGGAGAGAGTGGGAATTTCTCCATCCAAGGGGAGCCACCTCGGAGAGATGGGATATTGGGGCGGAGGCCCTGGGAATGCAGGGCATATATATGGGGCATATAGCCATAGCCTGGGGGCCACGGCTAATGTCTGAGAACAGTGCTGTCTCACCTGCCTTCATCTCTCTCTCCTCTCCTCCCTCTTCTTCCGTAGACAGTGAGTGTCCTTGCCACAGAAGGGCTGCTCGGTGTCTCTGCCCAATGCCTCTAGATTTTGCTGGATCCCAAAGGCTAAACTGGGCTTCAGGAAGGAGTTTTTCTTTACTATGGTGTGGTTTGCTTTTCTTTTTTTCCCCCATAAAGAGTGGTGGGACCAACAGCCTCTGCGTGTGCATTTTCAAGATTATGCATTGCAGAGAGTAGGTCTTGGTTGGTTGGTTTTTAAAAAGAGGCTTTGGTTTTGGAGCAGTTTTTTGATTCACAGAGTTGAATGAAAAGTAGAGCGAGTTCTCATGTCTCTCCTGCTCTCTTCCTCCACGAGCCTCCTCCACTGCCAACATCCTCCACCAGAGTGGTACATTTGTTACACGTTTATTACAGTTGATGAACCTGTATGGACCCCATGTCCATGGGCTACACGAGAGCTCACTCTTGGGGTTGTACATTCTATGAGTTTGGGCAAGTGTGTGTTGCTATACATCCACCACAGTGGCATCGAAGGGAATAGTTTCCCTGCCCTAACTCTTCTGCGCTCCATGATAAAGCATTTCCCTCCACTAAAGAGTCAGAAGAAATCTCAGGAGTGTGGCTCCTGCCTTGATTAGAAGAGGTTACAAATCTGGTATCCGGAAGAAACAAATCTGAGCAGTGAAACCAGGAGCAAGGTTGCGGGTGGGAGATAAGTACAGGATGGACACTGTTCCCCAGATACAGTGACTCAAAAGGATATGAGCTCTTGGAGCTCTGTGTTGCTCAGAAATGCTTTTCTCAGAAAAGGTGACCAGTAAATTGTGCATTTGTTTCCAGCTGAGGCACCTATGAATTCAGCCCACTTTGGGCCTTCTAAAGACTCCTCAACTTGGGGAGATTGACATCAACCAACAAAAGGAGTGGAAAAGGGGTGGGGGGGTCATTCATTTTCCCCTTTCCCTAGGTGACGTAAGAGGGTTCATTTACAGTAAGTCTCCGACTTACATACGAGTCCCATTGCAGGAGAAATGTTTGTAAGTCAGATTCATTCATCAGCTGACAAAGTGAATCTTGCACAGTACCTGTGAAAGTTTGTGACTCAAATGCTCACTAAGTCGGGGACTTAACAGGATAGACTGAGATGCTTTGGATCCACTAACTCTGTCCTTCGCAAGGCAGGAACAGGATGGAAAGTAATGGGGGGACAAAAGGCAAGGAATCCCAGCCTGGGTAAACTTCAGAGGGACCTCAGGAACTTCAGGAGTGGGAGCAGGGCCTAGGCAAGCATTGACGAGGGTCTGGGGCTACAGTCCAGGAGCAGAGCCCAGAAGAATTCTGTAAACTCAGATGTGAAATAAGGTACACGAACACAGAATCAAGGGCATGATTCTAAAGACCCTGCTGGTTCATGCACATTGGCATGTGGGATTGCGGCTGATTTTAGCAGCTAACCTCTACTCCATCCTCCCTCAGCCCCAGAACTTGGGATACACTGCCCCTCCGCCCCTCCTGTCCTGGCAAGGATTTTAGGCTTCGCAGCCAGCAGCCTGCAGAGATTTGGGGCTAGTGGCTGCCCAGGCAAGAAAGAAAGAGGAAGCAAGGACCCCCCCTTCCCCTTGCTACTCTTCCCTCCCCCATCCACAAGTCCCTCTCTCTGGGTCTTGAATGCTGAAGGAGAACAGAGAGTTCTTTTTGAGAAAGCCAGAGGCCGGGGCAGAGAGGAGGCAGTTGGAAAGCCTCCAGGCGCACCCCCCAGCTTTTCTGTGGCAGCTCCCTCCCACCAGTGCTGTCCCTCCCCTCAGCTCCCACGCTGCCCTTCAAGGCCACTCAGCCACTCCATGATGGGTTGAGAGTTAAGCCTTGCTCCGGAGCAGGGATGCAGGCAAGAAAGGATAGCAGGCGAAACCAACCCTAGGATGGGGTGAGGGTGTCGGGGTCTTTTCCTCTTCAGGGGTCTCCTTAGGCAAGACTCTGAGCTCCAGGCCCTAAGTGTCCCCACTTCACCCACTGTCACCACTCATGCTGAACTGACCAGATCTGCTACTCATCTTGCTTTTGCTTCACCCGCAGCTGCTGCGGGTGGAGGTGACAGCTGCAGGACTGCTGGGGGAAACAGACAGGAGAAGTCAAGGTCAAGTTTTCTCCCAGGCAAGACCTGGTGAGTGGGATCCACCTTGCTCCGCGATGGAGCTAACACTTCCCCTCCCTCCCTCCTTGTGGGTGGGTGGAGGGCCTGCCTGCAGGCCGGTCCAGCTCAGCCCTGGCCTCACCTAAGAGCTCTGCACCTCCGCTGGGGACTCCCTGGTGCTCACCCTCAGATACCTGCGGCACTTCCAGCCTATGGGGAGCGTGTGGTCATGGGTGTGTGAACGCGTGAACACGCGCGCGCGCGCGCACACACACACACACACACACACACACACAGGGCTCTATCTCTACCACTACCTGCTCGACTCCGTGTAATAACCTGTACTTGCCTGACTCTGGCCAGGCCCAGGAATTGGCCCAGAGCTCCCCACAGACTTCCTCGAATCCTCCTATGGCTCTCTGTGCCCTCTCCCTCCGTGCCCTCCTTTGCCAGCATACTACCACTACCTGCTCGACTCAGTGTAATAACCTGTACTTGCCTGACTGTGGCCAGGCCCAGGAATTGGCCCATAGCTCCCCACAGGCAACGACTTCCTCGAATCCTCCTATGGCTCTCTGTGCCCTCTCCCTCCGTGCCCTCCTTTGCCAGCATTCCACAAAAGGAAAGCAGTGAGGCCCAGTTTGTAACAGGATTGGGTCACTTTTCTCCATATGGGAATTTCATTTCTGAGAACTGGAAGCCTGTCCTGACGGGGTAGTTAATCTTCCCCCAGGGCAGAGCCACGGTGCAGAATGTCTTGGGGAGGCTGGGCTGGGGGAGAGGCGGCTCTCACCAGCCTTTGGGAAAGTCCTCAAAGGCCGTGGCCCAGAGCCCAGGCGGTGCTGCTGGGACATCCAAGGGGGTGCTGGTGCGGGCACAGCACTCTTCATCCCCACCCCACCCCAGCTGTCCCAGAACTGCTAGGAGATTCCGGGAGTGAGATGTTCCTCTGCTCCCCTCCAACCTTGGGCTGAACCCCCATGCCCTCAGGCTCAGATTCCCAGAGGAATGGATATTTTCAAGAGGTAGCAGAGGCAGGAGACGAACAGTGCCTTCGGCTGGGGGCTGCAGAGATGTGGGTGGTGGACTGGGGTTACTCCTGGGAAGGAAGGAGAGCAAGGCAAGGAGAGAACAGAGCACTTGGAGCCCGAGTGCTCTGTGACCTGTTCACCCTTGTGTATTTGGGCGACGCTTAGCTCCAAGTTCAAACTAGCCCGCTGGCCCTCTTCCCTCTCCCCTTGCCCCTGCAGCCCATGCCCACTCTGTCCATTCTCTGCTGCCCCCTCCCCTCCAGACGGCAGTTCCTGCTCTTTGGGGGATACTCACCCCACGACCCATCTTGGGGCTGAGTGGCTGAGGGGACCTAGGCTGGAGAGGTCACAGGAGGATCCCAAGCTCACACTGTCCGTCTGGGGCGGCCACCCTGAGACCCTGGCAGACAGACAGAGACAGCCAAGCAACAGGGTAGCTTTAAATAGGTCCCTTACCCCCCTACTCCCGCCTTCCCCTCCTCGGGAAAGAAACGTTTGTTGAAACAGGATCCCCGAGGACTCCTCCCCTCCCGCCCCTTTAACAACTGCCCTGTTGATGGTGCATTTTGTCGTTTTTTTTTGTCCCTCTGCGGTGCTCACCTCAGCTTCCCCAGCCCCCTGGCTTGTGGCAGCCACAACTGAAGGAGAGGAAGGGGAGGTGAGGAGTCGGGGAGCTTGGAGCGGCCAGTTTAGGATCCCAGGATGCCAGAGGCCGTGTGTTCTAACCCTCTCTGTGTTTCCATGTGGAAAAACTGTGGTTTAGAGGCAGCAAATCATTTAAACTGATGGGACAGAACCAGAACTCAGGTCTCCTGAGTCTACATCCAACCTCCCAGGAAAAGAAACAGAAGTGTTCCCTCTTCTAGAGAGGCTGCCTGCACACGGGAGCCCAGTAAATCAGAATTGGAACCCAAGGTCGGCCCCTCCATTTGAGTGGGGGGCTTGTGGGAGCTAAAAGCCATTCAAGAGGCAGCATGAAGGTCCCCAACCCTCCCATAGGTGACCTCAGCAATCACAGCTTTCCAGGACAACAGAGGCTCCTGCAACCAGGAGGTGGTCCCGAGGGGCAGGTGAGGGGTAGAGGGGATCTGTGGGGACCCAGTGCTGCAGGCGTCTGATGACATCTCTGTTGTCTGGTCCCCCTTGCTAACGGAGTGGACATGAGCTGTTGAAGAGCCGAGGGCTGGATCTACATCCAGGTGGGACAGCGGCAAGGGCAGAAGTCAACGAGAAAAATGCAGAGTTCCCAAGAAGTGTTTGGAGATCTGTATCATAACAAATAGCAGCTGTGTGAACTAGAAAAGAGAACAACTGTTTCCTGCTCCTGAGACGGAGGGGAAGGCAAGTCTGCAGGGTGCAGGACAGCGGGCAGCCAGCCGGAGAAGTTGCCTCCTGTGGTGATGCCTGGGAGAAACTGGGGGAACAGCGGGAGAGGACAGGGATTCACCTGAGGCTGGAAGGGTTGTCTCTAGGCTTGTACCAGCCAGAGAGGAGAAGATACTCTTGGAGCAGTCCAAGGGCAGGGTCCTCCTGGAGTGTCCCCACCTCTCTGGGTGCAGGGCTGGGTCTGAGAGCCCCAAGAGTGAAGGGAGTAGAAGAGGAAGAAAAGGATGGAGGCTTAGGCCCAGGGGCCTAAGGTACCCGCTGGCTGGGCTGTGGGCCTCCTTGGCTGGGGGGGCAGGATGGGGGACCACGACGACTCCCTGCAGAGGGATTAGCAACTCTCTTCCAGCAAATCCACTCTCAGGGCATAGGGCTCACATCTGAATTCCCTAAATAACTGGCCCCCTCCTGCCGGCGGTGGAGATTTTCCATTACAGGGATCCGGAAGGTCACATCCCACTCCCACCCTCCTTCCTCCTCCCGGTTCCGGATGGGAGGGTGGGTAGGACAGGGTGGCCTCGGGCCTTTTCCTGTCTCTCCAAAGCCTCTACAGACCTTGGATTTGGGCCTAGGGTAGAAGAGGCAGGGAAACGAGGGCAAATAGATACCGAGACTATGCGTAGGGAAGTAGCTGGAACCGTAGCAGGAAGGCAGTGGTTAGACATCGGCAAGGACTGCCTCAAGAAGAGTAACTCAGAGCTGGATGGGCACTGGGGGAAGGTAGCTTGGCCTGGGGCTGGGGTTAAGCTCCTAGGTTAAGCTCCTGGGCTACCTTCTGCCCCAAGAGGAAGCTTCAGACACTGGGCCCAAGTGGTTTTCATTCCAACCCCCTTGTCCTTTCTGCCACTTCCCAGGCCTGCCCAGTCCTTCTCACACCTTGGCTCTGTTTCCAGCAGTCAGGCTCAGTACCAGAAAGGACTTTGCCCTTCCTGGGCCCAGGCAGCCTGCAGGGCTCCCTGCCGTGCCTTGCACTGGGGCCCTGCAGAGCCTAGGGCGTGCTGCTTGCAAGCTCAGGGCTTGAAGTGAGAGGTGGATAGGACACTTGGCCCATTCTCACCCATGCCTCATGGACCACCTTCAGCCTGGTGAGGGCTGAGGTTCATGGATCAGGTACTTTGATCTGGGGTGCCCAGGATGGGCTACTGCTTCCATGTGGAGGCCACATGAGTCAAGGCCTTGTAGTGAGAGAAGCAAAGGAGGGAGACAGAAAGATTCAAAGGCTGAAGCTGGTATGGCATGGCACACCTGTAATCCCAGCACTTGGGAGGCTGAGGCAGGAGGGTCACTGTGATTTCAAGGCCTGCCTGGATTACATAAGGACGCCTTGACTTAAAAAAAAAATCAACCAACCAACCAAACGAACAAACAAAAACCTCAAAGGCCAAAGATAGGAAAGTCAGAGTAACTGTGCAGTGGGCATGAGAGAAAGGCACAGATCAGAGAGGGACCACTGGAGTACAGGGTGCTTTTGGTACTGGAGTACCAAAGCTTTGGTTGTTATGGGAAGATCTAGGAAGTGTGGGGGGAGGCAAGACAGAAAGGGGGTTCAGAGAGATGGAGGATTGTCCTTGCCTGTGTGTGCTGCCCCAGTATCAAGCAGGGACGCTTGAAGGTGTGAGTGGGAGGTCCTGGGAGCGCACCCCCTGGTGATTGAGAAGGACCAGCTCCTCTGGTGCTCACCTGTGAGTGGTCAAGCCGTGACGAATCAGCTGCCTGTACTGTACGCGGGGCGCAAGATGTGCACGTGTGCGGGCCGCGGGAAGCGCTGGGCAGCCGGGCGTGGGCGGACGTGAGCGTCCATGGGAGACAGAGAGCTTGCAGGGGAGGGGGGCGCCGTTGGGCAGCAGATGGGCTAGCGAGGGCTCCAAGAAACAGTTCTGTTTCCTAAGTGACTGGCCTCCTGGGGCCTCCAGCCCAGACTTGAAGGTTGTTTCAAGATCATGAAAGAGAACGGGAGGGACTGAGGGAGGGGAGGAGAGGAAGAGCCGGGAGGCACCCCCACAGCGGCTCCTCCCGCCCCCTCACCCCACTTCTCTGTGGGCCCAGTCTCCGCTGCCAGCCTCTCCCACTGCCTGCGACTCTCCTTGCCTTTTCTCCTTCGGGGTCTGTGGCCTGTCACCACACACTGCCAGGCTTCTCGGGCCTTCTGGGGGCGTGGGTGAGAATTTCCCACTTCCAAGGGCAGGCTGTCTTAGAGCAATAGGTTAGGGGGAGCGCGGGAAGGTGTGGTGAGGTCTTGGATGGTGTCAGAAAGGCACCTCTTCGTGCTGCCTTCTTCCCAGCCCCCGTCCTTTCACTCCCTCGGTGGAAGTGACTTTGAAGTGGGCAGGTGGCTCAGAGCTGCAGAGTGGCTGCCCAAGGCCTGCACAGTCTCTGCTTCCCCACTGGACCACAGGGATGGGACTGGATTTTCTTTCCATCTCTTCCTTGATCTCTGTTCCTCTGCTCTCTTTTTGGTTTTTCTTTTTCAACTTACTCGGAGTAGATTCGAAAGATCTTTTCCTTAGTTCTATCGTCTTTAATCTCTTCCATCAGATTTTTATTATCTTTTTCAAAAAATTGTTAAAATCACATTATCTAGAATTCAGAAAATAGGGAAAAAGCACTCAGAAGCATTTTCTTCAGGCTTTCTGCCTCTGCTCCGTTCCCCTTTTTGCCCTCCTCCCTTTGCTCTGGGTTTGGGCTGGGCACGAAGGTGAGAGTGGGAAGGACGCAGGCCTCAGCTACTCTCTGCAGGCCCCAGGGCCCTGTGCCTCTGCTTCTCACCCGCCCTGGGTCCCCACCTGAGTCTAATGCAATGGGCCTTTTCTTATGAATCAGGTCAGCTGAGGATGTCCCAGTGGGACCACTCCCGACCTGTGTGACCTTGGACAACAGGTTGCTCTGACCTCGTGTCTTCATCTGAGTGACCAGGAGCAGCCCGAGCAAACCTGGAGGTCCCTTGCCAGCTCTGATGGTCCCCCAGATCCGAGCTGCCTCCCGCACGGCTCATGGCTCAGCTCAGGGGAGCAGCAGAAGTGATCGATCTGTAGTCTCATCTGCAGAACCATCGGCGGGAGCTCCTGTACCGTTCACTAGTTCGCTAGCATGGGTGCAAGTGCTCCCTCATTGTTTAGTGTGACCCATGGAAACCATCCTGTCCCTTGAACCCTAGGCATGGAAATAAGAAAGGGCTCAGGGTTTGGGGCAAGAAGCTACTAGGAGAGGTGAGGCAGATCTAGGTGTCCTTTGGGGAAAAAGGCAGGACCGGGGAGAGCTTGAATGGCATTCAGTGAGCACATGGCAGGTGGATCTGTTTCCAGAGATTCTTTGGGTTGGGAAAGCAAGTCAGGGGTTATGAAGAAGATAGGGTTAAACAGCCTTGCTGAGTATGGGGTCAAGGGTCACAGCTGGGCCCTGCAGGGTTCTTATTTGCCTTTGATTCCATCTGGGCAGGGAGGGAACAGGCCCCTCACCCCCTGAGGCAGGTTTGCTTTGGCGGGAGATCTGACCCAGCCACTGGCCCAAAGCACTGCGCCTCCCTGCTCCCCCTATCAATGGGCAGCCTGGCCTCCCCCACTCCTTCCCACCTCCTTCTTCCCTTACCAGGCCCCTTCCACTTGGCCCAGGCACAGCTCTGTTTGTCTGCCTGTCCCCTTTGGCATTCTGGGTACCCAGCTAGGACAGGATGCCCTGTAAACCGCTGGCACACAGAGCCACCGCCTCCTTCCCATTTAATAGACTCTGCTTAGCACTCCAGGGAGCTTGGCCTCCTCTGTGCCTCAGTTTCTCTGGAGGTCCAGAATCCTTTTACTCTTGTTTCTCCTGTTGGCACGTTCCTACCACTGCCCGACCACAGGGTGTGCTCTTTCGGATGCACTTGTATCACTCAGACTCTGCGCTCGTGGGCACTTACAGTGCCTCATTCTGTGCCAGAATGGGAGAGACAGTTACAGCTCAGGCAACTGATTTCCCACCCTCGTGGTCCTTTTGCTCAGAACCCGGCACCAGTCAGGAAGTCCCTCCTCCACCCCACCCTTGAACAACCTTCTAGTCCTTTGGGA